TATAAAATAATAATTATTTATTTTAAAGGCTGTAATTATTTAATGATTAAACTATATTTATCTATATATTTAATTATAAAACAAATTTAATTAAAGCTTATATTATAGTAGATATGGTTTTTTGTTAATTTTATATTTTCAATACAATTTAGTAAATAATTAAATAATAAACAAAAAATGACAACACATTTAGTAATACACACACATATAGATATGTTAAATATATTTTTTAAAACTATATAATAATATTAATACTAAATAATAATAATAATAAATAAATAAACTGTTATTAAGTAATAAATAAAATATATTAGTTTTTTTAATAAAATAAAATTATAGTTTAGAAAACTTTTCGCTTATTTGATTAAATAATTTTTATTAAATTTTATAAAATTAGCAAATAGTTGAAGAAATATACAGTATATATAACATGCTATAACTAGTTATAAATAATTTTTAAAAAATTATATAAACTGTAATTACTTAATTATTAAAGTATATATAAAGTTATTATATTTAATATATTTTTTAATTAATAAGTAGTCAACATGTCTCTATTTTTTTCATTATAAACTTTTATAAATATACAAAATTATATTAAATATTATATTATTAAAAAAATGAAAATTGTTTTAGATTAAGAAAAAATAAGTATATTATTGTATTAAAAAAATTAATTAAATAACTTTTATATTATAATCTGTAATACAATATAGTAATTAAATTATTTTTTTATATATCTTAAATTTGTTATTTAAAAAAATAATACTAATTATTATTATTATTATTATTATATAATTGTCAAAAATAAATAACTTTTATATTTTGTAATTTTTATTTAATTCAACTAATTTTATTGTTTTTTTAATTACTATAAATTACATAGATAATAAAAATTGATGAATCACATTATAATAAATATATTACAATATAATTTATAAGTAATATAATTTAGATTAAAATAAATGGTGCTTTTATATTAAAATTACATGTAGTTATTAGTTTTAATAGTTTTAATTAATATTTTTAAATTGAATATATATTGTAAATATTTAATAGATTAAATTCATATTTAGCTATAATGCTAAATATGTTTGCATTTAATTTAGTATTAAAGACACTATATATATATAATATTTTTATGATATGTATAATAAATTTTACTAAATATTAAAATACCTAATATTAAAACAATTATATATATATATTCAGATATAAGACAATTGAACCAACTGTCAATTAATATCATTATCTAATAATAATCAATATTTTAATCAAACATTTTGTTACAGTAATATATATACATTATATACAGTATAAATTATATATATTGTTTGTATATATATTTTAAATGAAAATCATATACAATATTTAAACTGAAAGTTAAAAACAATTAAAATATTTTTAAAAATTATTTATAGAGTAAAATAACTATATATTTGACTTAAATCAACTCAAATTTTAAGTTTTTATTTTGTTAAGATAATATAGTTAATATAAATTTTTATAACAAAAATATTGATTAAAATATTATATATTTATTTTAAAAATTAAAACATTTTTAAAAAAATAATCATTAGAAAACTGTAAGTTTTTAATCTATAATATTTATACTTAACATTTAAATCTATTAATTTATCAGATAGTATAGTTTATGAAAATGCTAGTTATTTTTTTATAAAATTTAATAATAAACCAATATTTATTATTAGTATTATAATTACTTTTTCAACATTACTATTGATGACAAAAAAATGACTAATAAAACAAAAGTTTTAATGTAATGAAAAAAATTATATTAAAAAATAAATAGTTTTAAATTTTTTAACCAATTGTTAAAATTAGTTATAGTTAATGATTAGTGTCAAACATAGAAAATAAAAATGTTAACCAAAAAAAGTGATAAAAATGTTTCAATATATATAATGTTTGTATTTGTAATTTAATTAAAATAGCTATTTATATATTTTTAGTCATATAAACATTATTAAAGTATTTAATTAATATAACAATTTAATTAATTAATATTTTGGATAAAATTATTAATTATAAAAAAATATTTAAAAAAACTCATTAATATTAAATTCAACTGTAATATATAAATAAAAAAATTCAAAAATTTAAGTATAATTTATGAATTAATTAATTAATAACTTAGTTTTTTTAATAAAATTAGAAAATATTTGACATAACAATTTTTTTATTTAAAACTGTTATATTTAATTGGACTAATATTCTATATATATGTAATTAAATTTTATTATTAGTTAATCAAAAACCAATTATTTTATTTTATTTGTATGAAAAAATTGATAAAAATAATTTTTGTGTGTGTTTTAATTGTTTATTTTACTGTATGTTTAGATTTACTAAAAATTTTAGTCTAAATACTTTTCTTATTAAATATATATATATATATAATGTGATTAATATGTCTAAAACAAAAAACTAATTTTAAATTATCTCTAAACTGTAACATTCAATGATTAAAAAATTAAATAAACTTATAATATTTTTTATTTAATTATAAATTTAGAAATAATATTTATGATTATTATTATATTTTTGTAAATATTTACGACATACCAACAACAATAACAAATAAATTTAAAATAAAAATGTAATTAATTTTATAGTAATTATTTTGTTACTAAAAATATATTATTTATTTATTTTTTGATTTAACGTTTATATCATTAAACTGCTAAATGCTATTATAATTTGTTGTATGTAAATCTAATAAATTTATTAAAAAAAAAATTATATATTTAATTATTTTAAACTTTTTTAAAGTATAGTAAAGTTATTAATAAATGATATTTAATTATTTTAAATTAAGTTATTTTTTTATAAATATTAATTTTTTCTTATTGTTTTGTTATTACAAACATTACAATTAAAAATTCATAAATTATAATCAATAGAAATTAATTTGGCGCACAGTTAGCTAATTAATAATGCAATTGTTATCAACAACAACAATAAAAACTATTATAAAATATCTTTTAATTTTATTAAACTAAAAAAACTGTAATTTTTTTTATCAATTAATAAATTAAAAATATTAAATAAATGTAATATTATTAGTAGTATAGATCATAACCTCAAAATTTAAAAATATTTTTAACTAATCAATTATGATATATAATATTAAATATAAAAGCATTAATTTATTTTAATAGTTATCAACAAATCATATTATAAATTATTTTATTAGTTATACTGATTTATTAGTATATAAAAATAATTGTTTGTTAATAACTTTTCAACCATTATATTATTAGATAATTTTTTTAAAATAAATATTTATAAACTGTCTAAAAAATTACAAATTTTTGTTTGTTAACTAAATTGATTGTTAAATAAAATTATAATTAAGTAAAAAAATACAATATTATTATTTAGATTTTTTTTATAATTTTATATTTTATAAATTACAATTATTTATTATTAATTAATTTAAGCAGAGATATTTTGTCAAATTAAAACATTTATTAATGTAATTAAAAATACATTTATAAATTGTTGATTTTTTTAATTAATGTTAACATAATCATTGTTTTTTTAAAAACAATATCACTGTTTTTACATAATATTTATAATTAAAAAAATGCTAACTACTAAAAATAATTATTTTATAATCACTAATTGCCACTTATATTTAACAACATAAACAATTTTTTTAATAAAAATAAATTTAATATTCAAATATTTTATTATTTATATAACTTATTTACACCAAATACTACAATAATTGTATATCACTTTTAATATATTGTAATTATATATATGTTTAACAAACATTCAAATTAATTCAAATTTAAATTGTTTTAAAATATAATATTAATTATCAAACAATAATATTTTGCTATCATCTCTCTCTCTCTCTCTCTCTCTCTCTCTCTCTCTCTCTCTCTCTCTATTTATCTAACATTCAGTATATGCATCCTCCCTGTGCCCTCTTATGTAAAGTGATGTCGCATTATATATATATATATATATATATAAGATAAATATCTATCTATATCTAAAAATAAACAAACATTTTACAATGCACATTTCAGCACTTAATAGCGCACATGTATGCTATTTTCGATGCTACCATTCCTCCTCCCCATCCCATCCCAGAAACATTTGTGCCAAACAAAAATTCATGGGTTACTATTTAAATATATATATATATWKRTATATATATATAAYATAYATATATTGGTATTATACATATATAAATACATTTATATATAAAATTCATATAACATTATTGTGTGTAGATTTATATATATTATATGTGTGATTCATATATATATATATATATATATGTAATATTATGTACTGTCTATCACTGGGGACAGGCATTTAATCCATGCGCTTACATACAGACACACACTTACAGTACAATTCCACACATAATAATAATATATGCGATAATACAGTAATAATAATAATAATAATAAAAGTAGTCCTAAAATAATTTAAATAACTAATACATAACATGTACTGTACATAACATGCATACACACACATACAGTACACACTTTAATATAATTATTTGGATTTTATAAATTAAAAAAAAAAGTTTTACACAATTATTTTTAATTAATAATAATATTTATATATTGTTTGTTTGTTTTTTTGTTAGCAAATTGTTTAAATGATATACTTATTAAAAATATGTGATCAACAAAAWATATATATATAATTTTTTTTAATAATAATAATAATATTTAATAATTTTTAAATTGTTACTTAAATAGTTAACATGTGAACATATTAATTAAAATATCTAGTATTTTATCTTAAATTATTATTTATTAATTAATTAATAAATAATAATTTAGATTTTTTTTAAAAAAGAAAGGATCATAATTTTTCTAATAATTTTGTTATATTTTGTTGTATTTAGTGAACAAACAATTAATAATAATAATTATTATTATATTATTGATGTCCAAAATATAACCACATATTATCTGTTATTATTACAGATAGTCTACTGTTTTGTCTGGTTTGTCGTGATTAGGATTATATTTTTGTGATACAAACGTTGTGATTGTTTAGTTAGTCCCGACCCGACCCGTCCCGTCCAATCCCGTCCTCCCGTTTTTGCATACCTGACGGGGTTAGGAGGACTGGTTATTATTATTTTTTAACAATTTATTATTGATTATAAAAAAATATGGGCGACAGTGAGGGCGGCTCAGAACAGGATGATGTGTCGTTCCTCAGGACGGTATGTATTTAAAAAAAATAAATTATATATAAATGTATATAAAAAACTAGTAATTACATAATTTTTTTTAATGTTAAGTAGTATTTATAATAACTAATATTAAATTTACAAAAAAAATGATTTCTAAAGTTAAGATAATATTTAATATTTTATTAAAATTTTAAAAGTCATAATTAATTTAAATTATTATAAATATCTATTTGTTTTGTATTCAAACAATATTTAATTGCCTTAAATAAACAAATTAAATTTTTAGTACTAATTTTTTGTGTATATCAATAATTTTTTGGACATTAATATCAATATTAATTGTTTAATATTAGAAAAAATTAGAAAATATATTTATATATTATTATTAAACTAGATTATCACTAATAAATAATTAAATGATAAATTAATTATTTTATTATATAATTTTTCTATTATTTAATTAACAAATATATATATCTACTATATATATAATTAGGACGACATGGTATGCCTACAACACGGCGCCACCGGTAATCGGGTGTGTCTGGCGGCCGAAGGTTTCGGCAATCGGCACTGTTTTCTCGAAAACATTGCCGACAAAAATCTGCCGCCCGAAATGTCCAGCTGTGTGTTTGTTATTGAACAGGCTCTGAGTGTACGGGCCCTGCAGGAAATGGTCACTGCCGAAGCGGCAGCGGCCTCGTCGAGTGGCGACAGTGGCGGCGATGAAGATCAGAAAAAACCGTCGCCGTCGACAACCACGTCGGCCGCCGCCGCTGCCGGCGGTGGTGGTGGTAGTGGTGGTGCCGGTGGAGCTACCGGTGGCGGCGGTCATCGGACACTGTTGTACGGACACGCCGTACTCCTACGACACGGCTATTCCAATATGTATTTGGCCTGTCTGTCGACCAGTTCCTCGAATGATAAGCTAGCTTTCGATGTCGGCCTACAGGGACACTCCCAGGGCGAGGCCTGTTGGTGGACAATACACCCGGCCTCCAAACAGCGATCGGAGGGCGAAAAGGTTCGGGTGGGCGACGATCTCATTTTGGTATCGGTAGCCACCGAACGATATCTGGTATGTCCTTATGATCTACTGTACTGTACTGTACTAACTAGCCTAACAATACCAAAATAAAAGCTAACTGTCCTAACTAAATGATACCAGTATTTAATAGTTAACAAAAATATGTTTAATTTAATATTTTTGATTAATGTTTAGAAAAAATTATTTATTAATGTTTCTAAAATCTATTATATAGTTTAATTGTAATTAATTAATTAGTTAGTTATTATTTTTTTGGAGATTATTTTTATTTTATTAATTGCTGATATAGCTTATTATTTTTTATAAAAATTATTATTATTATCTATATATAACCAGTTTTTTAATACAATATAAATTTCTTATCATAGCATCATTTTTTTGTTGTTGCATTAATGTTATTTATTTATTTTTAAATTTTTTTGAATATACAGTATCCATTGTAATATTTATATTGTAAATATTCAATATAGTATTTATTTTATTTATTTTTTTTTTGATAAGTATATGTCATTTTAATGATTTATTTTGTATGGCAATTGTTTTTTTTAATTATATATTTWTATATATATAATGTTGGAAACGTGTCAACTAAACAGTRTATATATATAATTTATATAACTGTATATAATTTATAGTATATTAGAAAATGTTTATAGTATTTAATATACTTTACATTTTAATTTTTTTATTATATTAATGTATTTTTAGATAATTGATTACTGTATATGTTTATTATTTTTATAATATTATATATAAATATGATTATTAATTTTTTTTGAAAATTATTAAATATTTAAGTAAAAAATAGTCAGAATTATACTAAATAATAGTCTAATTAAATCAATACCGACATATATGAGGTGTCTATAACTAATTATTTATTTATTTATTAATATAACCGAAAATAAAAACATTAAATAATTACAGTTTGTTCAAGTGTTTGTAATATTAAACAATTTAATAATAATAAATAAACATAAAAAAACCATTTTTAAAAAAATAGATTATAGAAATATTTTTATTAAATCTATAATCTATTAATAATAACACTAATATATAAAAACTAAATTAGGATTTTTAAAAAACATATAATTAAAAATATATTTATTAATTAATATTAATATTATTAATAAACTTAATATTATTACTAAACATAATATTATTACTAAACATAATATTATTAMTAAACWTAATATTATTAATCAAACTTAATATTATTAATCAAACTTAATATTATTACTAAACTTAATATTATTAATAAACATAATATTATTATTAAACATAATATTATTACTAAACATAATATTATTACTAAACATAATATTATTAATCAAATTTAATATTATTAATCAAACTTAATATTATTAATTAAACTTAATATTATTACTAAACTTAATATTATTAATCAAAGTTAATATTATTGCTAATAATTATTTTATTATATATTTTAATTGATTGGTTTAGCACACGGCTCGGGAGTCTGACCAGTCCATAGTGAACGCCAGCTTTCATCAGACACACTGGTCGATAGCACCGTTCGGTACGGGAGCCTCGCGGGTCAAGAATGTCGGCTTTGTATTTGGCGGCGAAGTTTTACGCTTTTTTCACGGCGGCGACGAATGTCTGACAGTACCGGCCAACTGGGCCGACACACCCGAACAGAATACAGTGGTCTACGAGGGCGGAGCCGTATTCAGTCAGGCCAGGAGCCTGTGGCGCCTGGATCTCGTACGCACCAAATGGTTAGTTTAGTTTGTTATACAATATAATTGTTTTGGATTTTTTGAAGTTTTTTTTTATTTGATGTCAATAAATATAACTAACTATTAGTTTAGTTTATCGAATTAGTTATTTGCGATAATTAAAAATAATTTTATTAATTACTAGTATTAACTTATCTATTGATTTTTGTTAATAAAAATAATWATTATTTTTTATTATATTGATATTATAATATTAAGATAAAAAAATTATTAATAATAAAGATTCARGCACGTATATGTGTCAATTTAAATATTTATTTTTATATATTATATAGCAATTAAATGTCTAATTATTAAATATTTACAGTATAAATAAATATTTTTTTTAATTTAGATTTTATTAAATATCTGTAAATAATAATTTTTTTTGATGTTATTTTTTTGGTATCAATAAATCTATCTAATTAGTTTAGTCTATTTATCAATTAGTTATTTGCGATAATTAAAAATAATTTTATTAATTACTAGTATTAACTTATCTATTGATTTTTGTTAATAAAAATAATAATTATTTTTTATTATATTAATATTATAATATTAAGATAAAAAAAATTAATAAGACTAAAGATCCAAGCTCGAATATGTGTCAATTTAAATATTTATTTTTATATATTGTATAGCTATTGAATGTTTAAGTATTAAATATTTACAGTTTTTAATTTTTTTTATTTAGATTTTATTTAATTTTATAAATAATAATTTTTTTGATGTTATTTTTTTGGTATAAATAAATCTATCTAACTATTAGTTTAGTTTATCAATTAGTTATTTTCAATAATTAAAATAATTTTATTAATTACTAGTATTAACTATTATTTTGATATTAAATATAATAATTATTAGTTTATTGATATTAATATTAAGATAAAAAATTTAATAATAATAAATACTTACCAATAATGTGTTTCTATCTAAATATTTATTTTTATATATTATATAGCTATTGAATGTCTAATTATTAAATATTTACAGTTTTTATTTTTTTTATTTAGATTATATTAAATATCTGTAAATAATTTTTTTGATATTATTTTTTTGGTATCAATAAATCTATCTATTAGTTTAGTTTAGTCTATTTATCAATTAGTTAGTTGCGATATTTAAAATAATTTTATTAATTACTAGTATTAACTTATTTATTTTGTTAATAAAAATAATTATTAGTATTATATTAATATTATAATATTAAGATAAAAAAAATTATTAATAATAAAGATCCAAGCCCCAATGTGTGTCAACTTAAGTATTTATTTATATATATTATATAGCAATTGAATGTTTAATTATTAAATATTTACAATTTTTAATTTATTTTTGTTTAGATTTTATTAAATATCTGTAAATAATAATTTTTTGATGTTATTTTTTTTTGGTATAAAATCTAACTATTAGTTGTTGATAGTAAAAATAATAATAATTATTATTATTTTATTAATATTAAATTAATTAATTATATTAATATTAAGATAAAAATTTAATAATACTAATAAATACTGCGCCAAATTGTTAATCAAGTAAACTATTTATTTTTATAATATTATATAGCTATTCAATATATAATTATTAAATATTACAGTTTTTTTTAATTTTATTTTAGATTTATAATAACTTGTATATAATGTTAATAATGTATTTATAAATCATTTTAAAGTTTATTTTATTAAAAAAAAATAAAATAAATTATAATACAATTTATGTACAATACAATTGTGTGTATAAATTATATTTGTATTAGATATTTAGTAAAACTTGAAAACTTTAATAAATTAATTTTTTGTTGATTTTTAAAATAATAGTTAATAATTATTTAATTTAGGAAATAATATAATTACAGTTAATCTATTAATTAATTAATTTAATTTTTGAATTTATTTGTTTATTTTCTAAACTATTTGTTACAATTGTATTAATAATTATTAAACATTAATTATTTTTTTCTCTAAACATATATAAATAAATCTAAATAATACTTATTATTATTATTATGATAACAACCAGGTCGGGTGGTTTTATCAACTGGGGTTATCCGTTGAGAGT